AATAGGCCTCTACATCCTAGAAATAAAGGAAATAAATTAGAATCTAATAATAAATAATACTCTTATAATTACTAAATATATACTCTTAAGGCCTCTAAATCCTTAATATATTAATAGAATATAATAGAATAATTATTAGCTTTTTATGGAATCTATTAAAATAATTCTTAATAAATTAAATTATTTTTTAATAAGAATAATAAGATTAAATTACTTTAATTAAATAAATTCTATAGAAGATCTATATATCTTATTAATAAATTTTAATAATTCTATTCTATTAACCTTTCTCTCTCCTTATATCGATTTCTTTAACTTTCGTAAACTAGCTTAATATATATAAATAATACTTATACGATTAATAAATACTTATTTTTATTATTCCCGTTTATTCGTTTTCTTCTTATTCTAGCTATAATAATACCTCTTAAGCGTAAGACCCCTACGCTTAAGCCCCTTAAGGCTAAGAGAGTAGCTAAGTATAAGAATATAGTCGATATTAATCGTAAAAGCTATTAATCTAATATATAGTATATATATATAATAATATTTATAAGGTTCCCTATCTAAGTTACTTTAAATCTTATCTCGCTAATAAATAAACTAAAATTAGCGCCCTTAGCACTTATTATAACCTTAATCTTAAAGGATCTTATTATTATAAATATATTTCTAAGTATTCTTATAAATTAATATAAGCTCTTATAATCTACATTTCTTATATCTATAGCTCTAATAAATATTATCTTTAATCCTATTAATATATTTAAGCCTATTATAAAGTTTTTAGCTATTTATAATAAAAAGAACTAAGCTATAAGTTCCTATTCCTTTTTATTCCTTTAATTATCTAATTATATAATTAACTAATAATATAATTATAGGATCTAGAGAAATAGTATATTATTATTAAAAATATATTATAGATTATTAATAAAGAGGATATTAAAAAGGGTAACGATTTTAATAAAGACCTTAATAATCTTAATAATACCGACTATAAAGTAGCTAAGCGGGCTATAGCTCTATAGCTCTTTAACTACCTCTAGTAAGACTCTTTAGAGTAATTAGACTTAGATTCTAAGATATCGGAATCTAAGGCCTAGTCGCTATATAGCGGATCGTTTACTTTATTAATTTAGTAATTAAGGGGTAGCTATTTTTACTATTTTAATAATTAAGCTATTTTTAGGGAATTATTAATTTTAATTATATTTATATTTTAATTATTCTTTTCTTAATATTTAATTTAATTTTTAATTTTAATTATAACTTTATTAGAGCTTATAAGAGCTTTTAATATTTAGTTTAGAGCTCCTTTAGTTATTATATTTATAGGATTATCCCCTCCTATAATCTAACGAATTTCGTTAACTTTATATTCTTTATAACTTTATTATAATATTATAAGATCTATTATTAAACGTTTCTCTATAATTATACTTAATTAAATAAAGTATTAATAGAACGAGAAGCTATTAATATAGATAATTATTTATAAGAGTAATAAATCTAAGCGTTTATAGATCTTCTAGAATATCTATTTAAAGATATATATTATATTTAAACTATTAACTATATTATAGATTTCGCTAGCTAGAACCGAATATATAACTTATTTATATTTAATAGATTATTAATAAAGAATATTATTATATATTATAAATATATTCTTTTAATTATAAGAATATTTATTATTAAAAAGGATAATAAATCTAATCTAAGAATTAAAGTCTTTATTATTAATAAAGGAGCTATTAATAAATATATATAGCTAAGTAGTTAATAGATCGAGGTATATATAATTTAAGCTATAATCTATATTATCGATCTACTATTATATATATTTATTAATATTAAGAGGGCTTTACTACTTATATAAACCCTAATCTAGTACGTCCGCTATATTTACGAGCTCTAAATAGGTAGGGTATCTAATAAGTTATATAATAGTTAATTCTTATATTAATTATCTACTTCTCTAAGTTACTACTACCTATATAAGTTAGATATACCTATCTACTCTTAGCGATTACGTAAGCCGTAGTTTATATACTCCTAAGAGTAGTAGATCCTAGATATTATAGATACCTTAGATATTACTATCCTAATTATAGAGTTCCTTAATATTAGTTTAATACTAGCTCTTCTTTTCTTTATAGGTAGAATAGCTATAAGGACTAATATTAAGAGCTATTACTAGGGTTAATAGCTACTCTAATATGCCTATAATTCTCTAGTCTCTAGTATATTAGATCTATAGGAGTGTTACGACCTGGTAGCTTCCGAAGGGGGAATACTATTAGAGGGTTAGGGTTGCTATTAGTAGAAGCTTAGGTTATAACTCTAAGACGATATAGTATCGTAAAGCGTTGCGTACTCGTTATAATGAATATAAAGTAAGACTTAGATTAATTACTATCGTGAGAAAGAGTATATCTATAAATATAGAATATCTATCCTTATATACCCGTCTATCCTATTCCTATTATTAGATAGTAAGCTTATATTAGATAGCTTACTTATTAATTATTAATAATCTATAATATTAGGATTATAGTATATTAATTAGTAAGTCGGTTCCTAGCTTACTATTATATTCCTAGTAAGCCCCCCGACTTACTACTCTACCTAAGTAAGCCGTTATATAACCGGTAGGTCTATTTCTTATCTTATCGTACTTCCTATTTATAGGGTCGATCGTATTATAACTACCTACTCCCCTAGGTTATTATATAATACTCCTCCTTTAGGCTAATATCCTAATAGCTATAAATAATAAGTCTAAGCTACCTATAATAATTCCTTCTTCTTTATCCTCATTAATTATAATAAAATATTAAATCGTATCCTAAAACGCTTATCCGCTAAAACCGATTAGAGGAAAGCGCTTACTACTTTAATTAATTCCGAAAGCGAAATTAAAATACCCTATATTAAGTATTTTAAACGATACCTTATATATAAGACCGCTCTTAGCTCCTCTCGCTATAGCGAGTATATTCGCTAAGGTCGTTCTTATAATAGCGTAAATATAGTTTCTATATATAAGTTAGTTTAATAATTAATTTCCTTAGTTTTTCGATATTAATAATCGTATAATAGAAAAAGCTCTTATAGAG